ACGTCTGTGTCTGGGATTCGATCCTGCCACCTCAGCTTCAGCAGTCAGTTCAGTTTATTGAGGGAAATAGGCTTAAGCCTCTGAGTATCCTATTTACAAAGTAAAGCTGGCTGTGGTGTACAGAGAAATGATCTGGGCTAAAGTAATTCAAACGAGCCCATAATGGCATGATAAAAAGGGGATCAGTCTCAGGGGATGAGCTCGATCCCTAATCGCTCTTGGTCATTTCGGAACATAAATATGCCAAGGTTTTTTTTGAAACTTTGTATCAATGGCGACATCACAACATCTGTATGAAGGGCATTCCATGGTTTGACCACTCGGTCAGAGAAGGAGAACTTTCGCACATCCAGCCTTGCCTGCTGAGTACACATTTTTAACGGGTGGCTTTGGAGGTTAGTCATGGTAGCGAATTCAACAAAGTCCTCAAAGGCCAGGCTTCAGTCCGAACCCTTCACTGTCTGGAATGTTTGCAAGAGATGCCCGTGAAGTTGCCTATAACTCAAGGGGAAGAGGTTCAGATTTGTTAGGCGGGTAGCATAAAGAAATGAGCTGTGTCCCTAACCATCCTCCTGGCTCTCCTCTGAACTCTTTCGATGCAACTTCGGTCTTGAATTGCCCGCGGTCTCCAGGCTTGTATACTGTATTCCAAGTGTGGTCACACGAATGTTCCGAATGTCTTTGAGGAAGTGTCCTTGTCAAAATCCATAAACGCACGCTTTTTGGCGCACAATACGGATATTGCGCTTTTTGGCACTCTCGAACAATGAGCGGGTGGTCTCAGGGAGGGCGTCGTTGGGACACCGAAGTCCTTTTGGGCTTTGACGTGTCGTAATGCTGCACAACCCAGAAATTAGTCTCTTGTGCTGGAGGATCTGGCTGTGTTGCCTAGGCCAAGTATAGTACACTTACGAACGTTGAACCGCAGGGGTCAACGGTTTGACCACTCTTCCAACCGATTTTGGTTCATCTGCAGTCTGTCTTCGTTGGCACAGCCCCGAGTTACACTCCATACCTTCATGCCGTCTGCAAATACTGCTACTTCGCAGTCCAAAGCTATTGCGCAATCGCCAACGTATATTAGGAACAAAATGGGTCCCAGTGCTGACCCCTGGGGAACTCCACTCTCGACCACGGCTGGATCTGATTTCCCTTGACCGTTGTACACAACCTGCTGTCGACCCACAAGGAAGTTTTCGATACATTTGAGAAAGTTGCCTCTGATCCCTATTTTCTTCAGTTTGTGTAGCAGTCTCTGATGTGGCACAGTGACAAACGTTCTCTGGAAGTCAATGAAGGCGATGTAGACCGCGTGCCTGTCGTCGAGAGCTCTGGTCCAGCGCTGGAGAAATTGCAGCAAGTTTGTCATGCAAGATCTTCCTTTACGGAACCCATGTTCGCAGTTTGATAGCAAGCCGCGAACTTCCAGGCATTGCATTAATTCGCTTTGCATGATCCTCTCCATAACTTTCAGGGAATGCATGACAAGCTTATGCGCCTGTAATTTGTCGTGGGTGTCCTGCTACCTCTTTTGTATAGCAGAGTAATATGCGTCAACTCCCAATTGATAGGAAGTGTTCCGGTGTCAAATGACATTCAAAAGAGCATCGACAAAGGCACAGAAATCTCATGGGCAAGTTCTTTGAGAAGCTTGGGTGGAAGCTCGTCTGGTCCTGGCGACTTCGATTCGTTCATTGCTTCAAATTCTCTCCGGACAACACCTTCTGAGAAGATTATATTACCTATGCTTGGAGTTGGCAGTCCTTCTATAGAGGGAGGAAGTAACCTTGCCTCGTTTGTGTAAACTGATGTAAAAAACTGAAAAATAAGCAGCTTCGTCCTAACTATCAGCAATGTCAACGCCATTGTTAGTACTTATTGAGAGGATTTAGTGTCTGTTACCTGTACTTCTTCTGAGGTGGCTGTAGAATAATTTTGGGTCTTGTGTTGCTTTCTCTAACAAATGCTTCTCACATTATCGGCGCGTTTTTATACGCATGCTTCTCAGTTTGCTTCTTTGTGTCTTTTAGGTGTTAAAATACTCAATTTACCCGCTGTCACGGTATTTTCTCCACAATTTGTGCTTCACATTACTTTATTACTTTAGGTTGCTAGTTAGTCATCCAGGCCGCTTGTTCTGTCTTACAGACGACAGTGAGCAGTGGTTGCTGATGAGATGCAGAAGGATACTCTTGAAAAACTCCCAGTCATCGTTGGTATTACCCGTAAACGTTGAACTCCCATCGAGACCGGATAAGTCCGCCCTCATCAGATAAAAGTCGCCCGCCAAACATTGAGTATTTTTGGTCTGGACTATGCGAAATAGTGAATAAAGAATAATCCCACATAGGCACTACATGTTCACTTCGGCCGAGAGGCGGCATGGAGATAACCTCGTCTATGCTGTCTGATGATTTCGTGAAGACTAAACCCAGGCAGTTAGCCCTTTGTTCCTCACGTGCTCTCGTTGGAAACATGACATTTTGTTTGAGGGACGCCTTTAATTTTTTGTTCAACAAACGGTAGTCGAATGCCGGTTTTGGACCTGACGCTTGGAGGGTGTTCCAGTTTATTTCTGGTGCGTTGAAGTCGCCCATGATCATTATGTTAGGCCAAGTCAGTTTAAGTCAGTTTATTAAGGGAATAAGGCTTTCGCCCTTGAGCTCGCTATTCATATCGATAAACAGAAATAGAATCAATCGACTGGAAAATTTCTCCAACTGCACCAAAAGATGTGTGTCGGCGATTTAGCCTGTCCTGGGTGGTCGGTAGGAAATGAGGACATCGAGACACGGGGAACCGGTAGGCTTGATGATTAACCAGATGGCTTCCGTGCTGCACGCAAACTTGGTGGCATTTTCCGACACCGACAGGTCATCCTTCACATGCACAAACATACCACCACCCTGACGGTGTTCCATGTTCCTCCGATAACTTTGGTATTCAGTCAAGGCTATTTCAATATAGCTAATAACCCTGACAGCCAGGTTTTGGTTACTGCTAAAACATCCGGAGACAGCTCGACAAGGCAAAATGTTGGCTCGTCTAGTTTCGTTACGAGGCTTTGGGCACTTATTTACAAGCTCCTCAGTTTTACACTAGCCGAATTTCCGGCTGCATTTGTCACAGTTTTGAGCATTACTGCGTTATCTCGGACACCATTTTCTCCGGTTTCTTCCGTTAATTCAATTATTTTTTTTATTAAAGACCCGTCGGGGTCCCATCAAAGCAAGTAAAAATAAATTTACATGCAAATTTTAGACGATGTAGGCAAAATCTGCACAAAGTGCAATGCATAGTTTTTGAGATTAGAAGTCCGTTAAGCAAAATGAAAATG